CAGCAGCATCTGCATAATCATCATCATCAGCAGCATCACCACCACCATCACCACCACCATCATCATCATCATCATCACCATCATCATCCTCATCATCGTCATCATCATCATCATCACCATCATCATCATCATCATCATCATCATCATCATCATCATCATGCTCATCATCAGCATCATCATAATCATCACCATCACCACCACCAGCAGCTTCAGCATCATCATCATAATCAACATCAGCATCATCATCACCACCACCATCATTATCATCACCATCATCATCAGCATCATCAGCAGCAGCATCATCATAATAATCAGCATCCTCATCGTCGTCATCATCACCGTCATCATCAGCATCACCATCATCATAAGCATTATCCGCATCATCATCGTCATCACCATCACCATCATCATCATCATCATCATCAGCATCATCATCATCATTAGCATCATCAGCATCAACATCAACATCAGCATCATTAGCATCGTCACCATCAGCATCATCATGAGCGTCATCATCAGAACCATCACAATCACCAGCATCATCGTCAGTACCAGCATCATCATCAACAACATCATCATCAGCATAATCATCATCATCATCATCATCATCATCACCATCATCATCATCATCATCATCATCATCATCATCATCATCATCATCATCATCATCGGTAGCATCAGCATCGCCAGTATCATCATCATCATCATCATCATCAGCATCATCATCGGCACCAGCATCATCATCATCAGCATCCGCATCAGCATCATCATCACCATGACCATCAACATCACCATCAACAACATCAGCATCAGTATCAGCATCATCATCACCATCACCATCATCAACAACAGCATCATTATCATAAGCCTACATCATTAGCATCCTCATCAGCATCATGTTCATGATCATCGGCAACCTCATCATCATCAGAATCATCAACCTCAAGATAATCAGCATCATCATCATCACCATCATCAGCAGCAACGTCATCACCATCGTCAGCAGCAGCGGCAGCATCATCAGCATCATCGCCATCAGCGTCATCAGCATCAGCAGCATCATCATCGTTGTCAGCATCATCGTCATCACCACCATCACCATCCGTCTCATCATCAGCATCATCAGCATGGCCATCATCCTCATCCTCATCCTCATCCTCGTCATCATCATCATCAGCATCATCATCATCCTACTCCTCCTAGTCCTCCTCCTCCTCCTCTTCCTCCTCCTCGTCCGCCTTCTCCGCGTCTGCCTCCTCATCCGCAGTCTCATTATCAGCATCATCCTCCTCATCAGCCGCCTCCTCCTCCTCATCAGCATCAGCATCAGCATCAGAGGCAGCATCAGCATTAGCATCATCAGCATCAGCGTCAGCAGCAGCATCATCATAATCATCATAATCATCATCAGCATCATCAACATCAACATCACCAGCAGAAGCAGCAACCTTATCATCATCAGCAGCATCAGCAACATCAACATCATAAGCATCATCAGCATCACCATCATCATCATCATCATCAGCAACAGCATCATAAGCATCAACAGCAACATCATCATCATCATCACCACCACCAGCATGAGCATCGTCGTCATAATCATCATCATCAGCAGCATCGTCACCATCATCATCGTCATCATCATCGTCAGTATCATCAGCAGTATCATAAGCATCAGCTTGAGCATCAGTCTCGTTATTATCATAAGCAGCACAATAAACAGCGGCATCGTCACTATCATCATCCTCATCATCATCAGCAGCAACAACATCATCATCATCACAATCATCATCACCGTCATCATCAGCATCATCATCAAAAATCGTCATCACCAGCAGCATCATTATCAGCATCATCATCACCATCATCCTCATCATCATCATCATCAGCATCATCAGCATTAGCATCATCATTATCACCAGCAGCATAATCAACGTCAGCAGCATCAGCATCATCAGTATCATCAGCATCAACATCAGCATCAGCATCACCATCAGCAGCATCCTGAGCAGCATCATCATAATCAGCATCAACATCCGCAACATCAGCATCAGCGTCATCATCAATATCATCAGCAGCCTCATCAGCAGCATGATCATCGACATCAGCATCGGCATCAGCAGCATCATCATCATCATGGCATCAGCATCATCATACTCATCATCATGAGCAGCAACAGTAGAATCATCATCAGCATCACCATTATCAGCACCAGCATCATCATCATCATCATCATCAGCAGCATCATCATCGACATCATCATCCTAAGAATCTTCAGCGTCATAACAATCGTCGTCGTCAACATCAGCTTCATCATCATCAGCATCATCATCGACAGCATCGTCAGCATCAGCAGCATCATCATCATCCTCATCAGCATCAGCATCATCATCATCAGCATCATCATATGTATCAGCATTATCATCATCAGCATCATCATCAACATCAGCATCAGCATCAGCATCAGCATCAGCATCATCATCATCATCAGCATCATCATCACCATCATGCTCTCGAGGTGGTCAAGGCGGGAGTGTC